CGATTGCTTTCCTGAGCGAGTATGTGGCATTCTGTTGAGCCGCTTCTGATGAACGGGAATTATTGTCTATACTATTTGTATTCTAGTGAGTGCTCTATTTTCTTTTCAAACAAAATCCTTCTTTTGTATATACAGTTGATGTTTTGTAATAGATATGCTTAAATTAAATCTTTTGTTTTGTTTAGGACTTATAGGGTTGGTGATCCATTCTTAGTGTTAGTCACATGTTTGATTTCAGGACACGATAGTGGGCAATGTCAATTTAATATCTAACGCAATGGGATTTGACTAACACGTGGGAATTTTTTGGACGCATAATGAACCTCGCTAATAATAGCATTCCTTCCTCCTCCTTCAAGGGAAAAAATGCGTCAAACAACCTTCCAAGGACTTGAAAGCATGTAATTTTTAACTTGTACTCACCTCCTTTCGTACTCACCCTACAACTTGCCTATTCAATCCCACTCACTAGTGCTTTTATGTCCAATTTCAAAGTTATTGTAAGAGATAGGGAGAAATAGAGATGTGATTTAGCTAAAATACCCCACTTGTTTTTGGCAATACAATTAGAATTACAATTATCATAACCATTATTGTCACTTACATGAAAATTCGCGTATAAGGTTAGTATTGAACTTGAAACCAACAATCCAAAGGAACAAATTATACCCAACGGTCATATGTAGATGTATAAGTGCTTAATGAAATACTGCACAACGAATATTAGCAGATGTGACCATTGTTATTTTACAATACATGTATAAAATATAATAAACTATTAAAAAGAATAAATTGTCAAGGAATTGCTCTGATCAAAATAGCTTGCGAGCCCAGTTGGCAAATTCTTCCAATGTTGCAATGGTGTCATCATTGAAGATCAGTTGTCTACAAAGGCCCCATTCAGTTAGACAAATAAGGTAGTACAAGATAAAGTTAATCTGTCTTATCTCTCATTTATAACTGTTTTTGATAATTTTATCCAATTGATATATAGAATAAATTTTCTAAGGCAGAGGAGGATAAAATAAAATTTATCAATTCTATAGTAATTTTTTTAATTTTTGGATAATATTGCCCTTTTCTTCATTTTCTATTCTTTCTGTTTCACCTTTAGCCATAAGAATCATTATCTCATCCAGATTTATCCAACCACTATTCAGAATCATCCTCATTCAGTTTGTCTAGAATGTGTAGCATGCAGATTGAGTTTCTCAGCTATGATCTGCGCCCAAATTGAGCATGTAGAAGGTAGATCGTGCTTTTGCAAGAAGCTGTCTTTGAGCCCTTCTGCAAATCGTGCTTTTGTAAAAAGCTTATTCTCTTATCTTATGCAAAAGCTAGTTCCCCACGTTGCTCATTCATGATCTCGTGCAATTGTTCCAGATCATGCAAAAGCTGCAGATCTTGCTCGTTTTTCGATCTTGTCTCGTTCTGAATCTTGCACAAAACTATTCCCAACTGTTGCTCTTGCATAGAAGATTGTTGATCTCTCCAAGCTTCTCAGCATAGATCTTGCATAGATGTTACTTGGACCACCATTCTCAATTGAGGTTGTGTCAGAATCCCAATTTAGTTCCGGCTTACAAGTTGTAAGGATAATTTTGGTAATTTTATTTTTTATCCTATTTTATTCTAGTTTTTAAGATAAATATTATTAAATAAAGAAATAGAGAAAGAAGATAAAAGTATTATGGTGGTAGAATAATTTTATTATATCCCTTCATATCCTATCAGAAAAAGCAAGAGACGCAAGAAGGAGATTATGTACACTGAAAGCCAATATCTACGTGCAGAGACAGCAAATGGGTTTCTTGTGGTTTTTTTATACATATGTTTGTTAATTTTTAATTAACAAATTTAACTTTACTTAAAATTTTTAATTGATAAATTTATATTTATTTTATTTGATAATAATATTTAGTATAAAAAACACTTTTATCTTTCCAAGTTTGCTTAAATTTTATATTAACTCCGTTATTGTTATGAAAATATTTTTTTCCTTTTGACTAACATTGTACTAATGGTTGATTAACGGTTTTATTAAAAATATGGAAAGTAACATAATTTCACACATTTTGGTTACCGATTTAAATTACAAAATAAAATTTTATATGATTACTTATTTTTTAAATTTCTTATTTTTAGTTTTTTTAAAAATCTAACTTTTGATAATTTAATTTTATTAGTTTAATTATTCAATAATTTTTATTTTATTATATTTTTATTTTTATTTAAATATTTAAAATAAGAATAGTTGACTATCATTTTAAATAAAAAGCTAATTGTTATTTAAAATTTTAAAAGATAAAAAAATTAAAATATCATAAAATAAAAATTTTACAAATAGTAAAATTATATTATCAAAAGTTAGATTTTTTAAATTTTTAAATTTTAATTTAAAAATTTTAAATTTTTTAAGTAAAATAAAGAATATTTTAATTTTTAATTAAATAAGTAATCCAAGCAGATAAAATGGAGTTACATCCACCTCTTTTTTGACAAAATCGTTAAATAATTATTAATCAATAATTAGTTAAATAGGAAACGTATTTTTTCATGATAAAAATGAGATTAAGTGTCATTTAAGTAAATCTAAATGGAGATGATGTTTTTACCTGAATACTTATATCCTTAACCTTCAATTCAGATCTAATTAATACATTTAGTAATTTTGATTATTTTATTTGTTAATTATGTGTTCACTTAAATAAATTATTTATATTAATTATTGTTTGAGATTTTCATATAAAAAAAAAAAAATATAATGTCTTACAAATTTATAATTGGCAATTATAAATTTTAATAGAAAATTTCCTTATTAAATATAAATAAAAATTTTTTCTTTAGTATCACTTCAATTAAATAAAATTGTTAAATTAGTTTTAATGTTATTTTATAAATCAATAATATATAAAAAGATAAATAATATATTTTTTGATAAAATATTACTGTGAAAAGCACAGCATTTCTTATTCTATTATTTATATCATATGTAACATTTTTGCTAAGTAAAATGTTTATGGCAAAAGTAATTATATATATTTTGATATGTTCAAACATATCTTGAATTAGGATTGTTAATAACTGTTTTACTGGCTTTTGAATATTTCGTTTATTATGGTCTAAAAATACTTATATAGTGAAATAATTTCTATGTATCACAATTTAAATACAAAATTCAAGTATTTAGATTGTATTATGTAAAATGTAGGAATTAACTCATTTTTTTGTATTACTCCTTTAGGAGTAGTTATGGAAACTTTTCTTATTTAAAAATATGTACCTAATCCTCCTCCATTTGTTTACGGATCAGATCAATTCACGTGAGCAACCCAAATCCAATAGCCCTAATATTTTATAATACTCCTGTGGTTAAGAATTAAGATTTGAGAGTTTTGCTGAATTCTCTGGTTATAAACTGAGGATAACAAATGTAACGAGTGCATGTTTCAAATAAACTTTAAGAATGTAAAAGAATTTTTAAGTTGAAAAACTAAAAATCAAAGCTTTTCAAAAAGTGAAGAAAAGGACTTCCAAAACTCCGTGATTTTTTCTATGCCAAACATGCTCCTGTAATCCTTGGTGTAGCAATCTGTTTTGGAACTCAAGAGAGAAGACAAAAAATGATTTAAGGCTTTTCTTTAAGAAGAGAGAAGGAAAATAAAAACAACTGATTTATCTCATGCTTGCTTAGATAATTAGAAAGTATTAGAGAAACTATAAGGATACAGAGATCATTTATTTTCCCTTCTTTATGTTCCGTGGTATAAAGTTCGGTACTAAAGATTTATTTAGAATAAGATAATGATATTTTCCCTTTAAATTTCTTTAATTTTTGAGAATTTTGGAATATTACATGTTAGAATTCTTTTAATTTTTTTAGTTTCTTTGTTTTTTTTTATATAGAATTTAGTCTAAATAAATAATATAAAAAAAATAATAATTATGTTTTGGATAAAAAAATACTGTTTTCTCTTCATATTTACTTATATAACATTCCCTCCTATTTTGATATAAAAAAATACTTTCTTTCTTCAATTGTTAACTAACAATTGGTTAATGATTTTGTTAAAAAAATATGAAAATAATCCTGTTTGGCACATTTTAGTTATTCATTTAATTTAAAACTAAAATATTATTTGATTCACTTATTTTTTATTTTTTAAAAAATTAACTTTGATAATTTAATTTTATTATTTTTAATTATTAAATAGTTCTTATTTTATTTTAAATGTTAAAATAAAAATGTATGGGTGTATTTAAATTAAAAAATGACTGATTATTATTTAAATTTTAAAAAAATTAAATAAAATTAAAAAATAATAAAAATATGATATAAAAGGTTAATATTTTTATTCTTTTTAAATTTTAATTAAAAATTAAAAATTTATAATTATATTTTTAAGTAAAATAAATAATATTTTAATTTTTAGATAGTTATATAATTCAAATAAGTGAAATTGTGTTAGACTCATTTTTTTTTTAATAAAACTTTTTACTAATTATTAATCAATAATTAATTAAAAAATATTTTTTTATAATAAAAATAAAATTAAATATTATTTATATAAATATGAAAGGAAAGTAATTTTTACTCTTATATTTTTCATAAAATCAACCTGGCCCAAATGTAACAAGCTTTGAACCCAATCAAACCTCCTCGTAGAACTCCTGAATTTATTACCGCTGGAACAGCTTCAATTTTCGAAAATTTCCATTTCAAAAGCTCGCCTCCTCACCGTTTGGATCTATCTTTTCGCATGGCCCATTCCTTTTAAACCCCGTCTCCTTCTCTCTCTTCTCTCCCTGTCTCTCTCTATCGTCCTCTTCCCAAATCCACCACAGTAAGCTCTGAGAAGCCTGCCATAATGCCTCCAACTGACTCCGACTTCGATCTCGGAGTACATTCTCGCGAAACCCTAACCATGTCTTTATGCTTAAAAATTCACTTTTTCTACTCATTTTCTATGGCTAACTTGGTTTTTCTCTAACTTCTGCAGTCATCAACGCAGTCCAGCTTCGGAATCAGGTGAGCTCATTTTCGTGGTTTGCAATCCTAGGGTTTTATCCTTCTTACTTCTTTTTATTTTTAGTGAATTATACTGAATCTACGGCTCTGATGTAATGGCTTAGCGAGTATACATTTGCCGATGTGGGAAACTTGGACCATTGTGCGAAGTACCTGAATCAGACGCTCATTACCTTCGGATTTCCGGCGTCGCTTGACCTGTTCGCAAATGATCCGGTGTGCTTAGATTCTTAGATTTTGCGTTCGATGTATTGCATTGTGTTTACTTTTCTGCTGTTAAAGGTTCCGGTTCTGATTTGGAAATTTTCTGTTGTAGGTTTCGATTGCACGCACTTGCAATTGCGTTTATGCCCTGTTACAGCAGAGGCAAAGGGATATTGAATTTAGAGAGTCTGCTAATGAGCAGAGACAAAGGTATGTTTGTTTTGATCTAACGTTTTGTACTGGGGGTTGGATCTGTAGAATCAGACAAAGGAATCAAACGTCATTTGCCTCCTTCCATGAAATTTGTTGTTCCTAACATTAATGTAATCAGATTTTATGAAAAGGATTGTGCACATGTTCTTTGCCGTGAATATATATGTACATTCTAGCGTTTCATTTTTGCCATCTGATAAGTGTATCATTAGGATTAATTTGTGAAGCTCTGGCCAATTATATTGTTAGCATAGCGAGACATTTGGGAATAAAGCCCGATACACCTCCAGTTGTGAACTATGCACAATGGGGAAAACTATATTGTTGCATGGTCCATTGACATTGGACTGAAGAAAATTAACAGTGGAAGAACTAGATTGTTAAACCTTAATTAGCTTTTTTGGATTATCAATTTTTCTATTGCATAAAAGACAAAGTTTTTAATAGCCTACTTGGCTGCATTTTCCCAAAACTTTTCTGTTTTCTATGTTAAAGACTAGAAAATGAAATGGTATTGGTCTTGGAGAAATGAGTACCAAAACTTACCATTGTAGCACAAAATTGATATGTTTTTCGGAAATGCAAAGGAAAAAAAGGGAAATGATAAAACCATTGCATGCACATATGTTTCTTCTTCCATATGTCTCTGGACATTTATCCTGTAACTGTATTTTAAGTTACACTTGAAAGAAAAATGTGTTTGTATTTGTTTCTAGACTCTTGTCAGACATCTCAAGATTAGAGGCCAAAGTGGAGAGGCTGGAAGCCCAATTATCTGCAAAAGATAGGGAGATAGCTACAATGACCCGCACGGTTAGAGTCATAACTCAGAAGACTTTCGTTACTATCAATGAGGCAAAACTTCTATGTATATTGCAGGAGTGGTTCTGTGTTATCTTGATCCTCTTGTTGATTATATCTAAACGTTTATGTTCAGGAAGCTAAAGCTACTGCAGCTTTTAAGGCCCAAATTGAGAAGTTACAGCAGGAACGAGATGAATTTCAAAGGATGGTTATTGGTAATCAAGTAAGAAATCTTCTTCTTTTTACTCATATCTATCTTTTTATTAATTTTATTTTTATTTTTATGTGTTGATCTTATTTTTTCTTTGTTGTTGTGATAGCAAGTAAGAACTCAACAAATACATGAGATGAAGAAAAAAGAAAAAGAGTATATAAAGTTGCAGGTAGGGTTTACTCCTTAAGTTAGTTTTGGAAAAAAAATCCTACTTTTTAAAGGAATATTGAGAAAGTGGGAACCATATAATTAGAAAGCAAATGGCTAGGGAATTACCAAAGGATTGCATCTTTCTTGCAGGAGAGACTAAATCAAGTGCTAATGGAGAAGAAGAAGGAATCTAAGTCAGGCATGGAGATAATGAACTTACTCCAGGTAACTGCTTACTCCCTAATTTTTTGAGCTATTTTTTTATATAATAAATTGATTTCTCTAATTTTTTGTGTGTTCTGTGGCAGAAAGAAGGTCGACAACGTGGCACATGGAATGGGAAGAAGGCCGACAATGACTTCTATAAAAAGATTGTAAGAATTGTGATTGACTTCTAGAGTTGTATCAACAACTGAATATGTATCTTATGTGGTTGAATATGCTCATCAGATGGATGCTTATGAGGCAAAGAATCAGGAACTAGTGGCAGAGAATGCTGATTTAAGGGCATTATTACGGTCAATGCAGGTATGTTATTGTGTTTGGTAATTAATTTTACTATGACTTTTCTGCTTGCTTTTTGCCTATTTATTTGTCATTTATGGGTGTCGTAACTTTTTGACTTTGGATGGAAAATGTGGTCCAATTTGCATTTTAGTAGCATAGAATAGCTGGCCAATATTACATATTATATTTATTAGTGATGAAACTTGGATGAACTAAAACATGGAGTGGTTTAGGTGGTAGATTTTTTATTAGCTCTTCACCCTGAAGGATAGTTTTCTTTTTACAGTTAAGTAGATCAATAAACATCATGAACTTTCTTCTTTCAGAAATGGAGTCCTTCTGCTTGTTTAAGAAACGACTATATTCTGCCTTGAAAATCTGAAGTGGCCTGAGAAGGATGATATTCCTGGAGTAGGCTTTATCTGCTGCATTTTTTTGGAACTGTATAACTTAACCTCTATAAAATGGGATTTAGAACTATGATATGAATCTTAGGATGATAGAATAAATCTCTCCAGATGTATCTTAAGTAAAAGGAATACTTGAAGTGGAAGAACAGAAAAATGGCCGAAACAAAAAAAATTGCATATTAATGTCAGAAGATAGTGTGTTCAACAGAACTTGTAGCATTTTTATTGCTGGAATAACGGTTGCAGTATATTGATTGCTGGAAGTACTTGGCAATCTATGTTATATATTATCATTCTGATATGAATCTTGCCAACCATTATGTGGAATGAATAGTTTCAAAAATATATTGAGAACATACCTCACACCATGTTTCCAAATTGTCAAAAGAGAATCTCATTCTGCTTCATTGTTTTCTACTTCTAGTTGCTTGTCATTATGTAAAATCTTCTATAGTGCTCATAGCAAAATCTTCTAAAAATGTGCGTCCTTGTTCAGAGTTTGTCACTAGCTTCATCATTGTCAAGCTTGGTGCAATCCAGCAAGTTATCTTGCAATTTGCAATCTACCCAATTTTTGGTTGTGGTGGAAAAGTTTTTAGACATTTGTTGACAGTGAAATTTGTCCAACCTCTCTGAAACATGCATGGCATTAGTAAGTGTGACCTTTACTGTTGTCTGTTTGGTTTATTAGAAACGGATAAATTGTTGATGCATTGGGCATGTTGTGTTTCCATTCTTTTAGGCACTCAGGAAACATCTTCCAAGTTCAAAGAAACAGCTTGTGAGTTAACAACTAAACAAAGGGAATGTTGATATCCTATAGAGGGTTTTAAATTGGTATTAGAATCTTTTTGTATTTGTTTTTCAATATCTAGAATTTAGGGAATGATTTTTTTAAACATTTTAAATGTATTTTAACTTTAAAGATGAAAATTAACCACTAGTTTCATGCATCTGTACAAAATTTTATATTCTTTTTTGTGTTTTTGCCATCTGTACAAGACTTGATGAAATATTTATGTTCACATGTTCATCACCCTGTCTATTATTTGTAAATTGTATTTACAGTTATTCACTTCCTAACCTAGAAGTAGCTTATTATCTATGCACATGGTACTCCCTTTGTCCATCAACTTAAGTAAATTGTTTATGGAAGGCATATTAAGTAAATTAGTTTTCCTGAAATGGCTTTTTTTTTTTTTTTTGGAGTAATTGTGTTGGAACTTTTGATTGTGATTGAATTTAGATTTTGAGAAAAGCCATATGACAAAATTATTAGTTTCCAACTTTTGAATTTGAATCTGATCCTATGAAATGAGAAATTATTACATTAGAACTGTAGTAAAAAGTGAAGTATAATTAGCGTAAGAAATCATGTATCCTGTCTTATATGGTAGTTGGTTACAAAACGTTTAGGAGCACAAACAAATGATCTTGTGTTTTCTCATTTGCATCTTATTCTTTCATCATCGTAACCAATATTTTCTGACATCCAGAACAGTCTGTGCACCACAAATAAGATGGAGAAAAAGAGAACACCAGGTTTTGGTTAAGTGGCCAATTTTCCATGTTATCTAAATGCATGAGTTACCGACTAATAAAATCACCTTTGCTTTTCCTTTCTTTTTATTTCTTTTTCTTTTAAAGTTGAAATACAACTAATAAAAACTCCTTTGCTTTTCTTTTATTTTTTATTTCTTTTTAAAATTTCCTTACAGCTTTAGATTTGAAAAATTTTTGTCACTCCAGGGTACCTTTTGTGATCATTAGCTATTCCAACCAGCTGAAAATATGATTTTAACTGCTTGAGAAAATAAGAGAGAAGAGTTAACATAATTGTTGTCCTTTTTCATTTATTTTACAGGTACCATGCCACATAATGTCAAATCTACCTTGAAGATGGGAATTTATATTAGTTAAGCTGACTACCTTCTCCTAACCTTCAAGTCATTTAATGCCCAGTTTAAAAGAAATTTTTTGTAATAGCCTTTGCTAAGAGAAATACTATAGTAAACAAAATAGAAGTTCATAAAAATTAAAATAAAAAAATCAGAAACTGAAACTTTTCAGATTTAGGTGTGTCCTTGATGACATGCATTCAGTGATGAAACCTAAAAAAAAAAAAAAATGCCCTTCTTATATTATTCTTTCTGAAGATAATGTTTCTCATACTTGTGTATACTTAGTGCCATCCTTCTATATAAGCATGTGTGTGTGCGTGCATGTGTGTGTGTGTTAAACAAATATATTTTCATTGTATTATTTTTCTTGAATTGTTTTTCTTCTATTGAGGAAGCAAATTTCCTAGATAAGAGAAGACGGATTATGCTTCCACGCATGGTGTGGCACACTGGCAATAGTTTTTCTAATTGACCGTCTGAAGAATATGAAATACTCATAAATAAACATTTTAATTCTTCCCGAAGGCATCTCTTTGAATTCATCAAGTGTGAAACTAATTTAACATGCATATCATATTTGTGTTGAAAACAAATTTGACGTCTGTAATGAAATTGATAGGGTGGTGTTGTCTATATTTTAAAGTTTCTAAGTTATATCTCAATTGCAGGTGGATATGCGCGATTTCTTGAATGCTCCAAATGGTTTGTCCAAGCAATCGTCGCCTGTCAATGAGAGATTGGATGCTGTCGCTTCACAGTCCCCATTGGGTGGGAGGACGGTATGGCAGACTATCAGAGTGATTTACATGAATTTTCTTTTGGCGGTTCAACCATTATTTTGACAAGTAAGACTTATTGGAGTTCATAACTTATAGGATGTTTTTGACCTTCCATTTCACATGGCTCGAGATCAAATAGAAGAAAGTCTACGGAATAAAATGGCTTCGATAAAGGTAGTAAATTTCATTTTGTGTATGTCCATTGTTGATTACGTCCATTGTTGATTACTGTTGAAAAAGTCATTAATTTTACTGTTGAAAAAAGTCATTAATTTGGTATACTTTTGCTGCTTTTGAAATTGCAGGAGCGCATGCTTCAGTTACAAGATGCACAGAAAGGAGCAGAAGTTACTTCTGAAGCAACTGAGAGGGAGCTTGAGCTTGAAGCTCAATTAGTTGAGGCAAGGAGCATAATCCAGGAGCAGGTATTGAACTCTATCAGTAACATGAACAATTTGGATAAATTCAAACCCCCATGCCACGATGTATCTTGTATTATTTTTGGTTACATTACATGGATTGCTCAAGCAAGAGTATTTTTAAAGTTGTATCCTTCAGAAAACAATGTCACATATATTCACATTTACTGCTTATTATAAATATTTTGTTATTTTGATTTTAATTCTTCTCTACTTGTCTGGAGTCTGGACTGACATGTTCTTAATCAAACTTACGAAAAAAAAAAAAAAAAAAAATGAAAACATGAAGGTAATTTCTCAAAAGTTATCTAATTTTATATCTTAATCTACCTATTGTGGCAATTCTGGGAAATGATCTATTGTATTTTCAGTGATTTTCAATATTACTTTTGATGGGAATTTTGTGGTAATGCTTGTATTATTGATGTTTCATAAATTATGTATTTAACAGTGAGGAAGTGCTTGTTCGAGGGTCTGTGGTGATTCACTTATCAAACTTGAAAAAGCCGTATACCATGATAACCCTGTTATTAGTGTTCCTCAGACACTAGTAGGATTGGTCTAGAGTTGTAGTTGTGTAGGGACAGGTTCCAGGAAGGTGAACTGTAACTGAACTCATGTTTTGGGTGTCATTTGTTGCATTCTTGATCCCCCATATTTGCTACTGTATGATCCACCTACTCTCTGGCTCTTAAAATAGATTGTATCATGTAGGAAGCTCCTTGTCATTACTCCTGGCACTTGTTACTATGACTTTCCAATTATACCCTGAATTATTTGTGGCTCAAAGATGATTATTATGCAATGTGTTTTTCTTATTTTAATGCATCTAATTAGAAATACACCCTGGTTCTAATTGCAGGCATCTATAATGTCTAAGCATCTAGCCAAGTCCGAGAGGCCAAGGTATTGACTTGCATTTCAAAATTCTCTTAAAAAGATACGGATTACAGGAGTTATTTCAATTATGCAGGAGATTAAGTGGCCATTTGAGTGCAGAGAGGGATTCAATGATTTCATCAACAGCTGAGGTATACATTTAGAATGATGTGCATCTCTTATCTTGGCTATCTGAAGTCCTTGTTCTAGCTAGGTTCTTTATAGATAGGAAATAAGCTTATCTTAATTTATTCTTGTTTAGAAAGCGTGTAATGGAGATAAGAGTAGTGGTAATAGTCTGCCATACATAATAGAACTATTATTCTGCAATCATTGGTTTGGACATGGGTATGGACTGAACTGGAAGCATCATAGTACATACAAGTACATTTTGAGAAGTAAATTAATAAATACCTTTGATACCAATGTTTTCTCCTTTTTATATCCTACATATCATATATTAAGTTGGTGTCAACTTATATGTAGTTACATTTATATCATGATCACACAGACACAATGGCATACCAGGAATTCTATCCAGTGCAACAAACAACTAGTCTTTTGGTATTGTTATTATGATGTGTTTCAAGATATATCAATTTGTGATGTATGAGTTATAAAAAATCACCTTTAATTCTCGTAAGTTATCATTGAGATGAACATAATTATATAAAAGAAAACTAAGGGTTTTACGTAGTTGCTTAGTGGAGGGAAAATGGTCCAATGTTTAAAAATTCAAATTAACTGCCAACCTTTTGTTTATGGTTATATATTCTGCCAATGAGCGAAAGGGATTTAAGCATTTGCTAAAATGGATCATGAATGAACCGTTAGGGTTCATCTATTAAAAAAAAAATGGTTCATCAGTCTTATTATTAATAAATTGAATTTATGTTTCCATTCTATGTTGTTCCTGTTCAGGGGGTGTGAAATCACCAAATTGGTAATATTAAGAGTTGCTGTCCCTGCATCTGAACATTACAGACAGACATCTATGATAGAGACATAATTTGGTAATGTCTAGGATGACTAGATTTGTATTTTTCAAGGTATTGAAGTATATTTCAAGCTGTATGTTGATGTGATCAGTATCTAGCTATTCCTTTATATAAGCATTGCCCGGTTGTGTCTTAATTTGTAAGTGTATGCCTAATGACTATGATGATGGCATTCCAGCTGTGTATTAACCCTTGTAACCTCTGTATATTGATTGACTCGCCAGAACAAGTGAGATTCAAAGGGCCTGGACACCGGCCAGAGCTAGTAAAATTACTAATGAAAGTCAGGCTTATTTGTACCCCGTCTTCTGTTTTTATGACCAAATTCAGGAACTTTTATGACCAAGCTTGACTTCAGTGCTTTTTATTTTTCAGTTCGAATCTTTGATCTTTATTGGCCTTTTGAATTGCGTGCAGTTTTTAAGCCTAGAGCCTAAACTTGCTAGAAGTCGGTGTTTTGTTGTCTTTTGGATTTCAAAAGCTGTAAAAACTTGATTTTGGGCTTTTGCAGTTTAAAACTTGGGCACATAAGCCCGAACGTGGATGTAGTACTCTCGTTTTTCCTAAAAAGGGGCCAATTGAATGATTACAGTTCATGTTGCATGCTAATCTGAAGGTCCAGTAGCTTGGATAAAAAGCCTCCATGGTTGGTTGGTTTGATTTTGTTACTTTTGCTTGGTGTGTTTGCTTGCCATGAGAAGAGGTGCAATGTTTCTAGATCAAGCAGCTTCTCCTTGGATATCTTGACTTTTAAGTCAATCAAACTCGTATACATGCAAGGATTCTTGTACAAGGATGGCAAGAAGAGTTTTATTGGATGTTACCAATAACCAAAAAAAAGAAAAAAGTTTTTGGGTGAGTTTAACATATAATTAAATTGGAAAATTAACCTTAGAGGAGATCTGTTCAAACAACAAAGTAAAGGGGAGGTAATGCTTATTACTAAAATGGAGATCCTTGGAGTTTCAGAAACATCTCAAGGGGTCAGTTTGTCCTTAACCCAAGTAATGGGAACGACGGGCAGTGTCTTTTTTTCTTTTGGGGTCACATCGGCTAGTGTCTTTTTCATTTCTCTGGTGGGGTGTTGAAACAAACTCATCTAGCCTTTCCCAACCAAGTTGTTCCCCAAAAGTCCAGTTTTGGGTGCTTCCAAGTGCTCAGTGAATTGGAGGTTCAAACCTCGTGCTCCCTCTTGCCCTCGCAGACGCAAAAACAAACAGCAAAAAGCCTACACCTAAAATCTTGGTTGTTTCCGCGTGCTGGCGCAATGGCACATGCCCATACAAGTCAATGATATGTGCGATTAATTGATTACGAATGAAAGAACAATTAGATAATTAAACGAATCTAAACAAGTAGAAAATTCAATGAATCTATCTTTTCTTTGCAATGGAAGAGTATGCCATTGCAAGTTAATAGGACCAAACAAGTAAGCCTCAGATATCACAAGTCAAAGGGCCTCCGTTTCAATTAATAAATCAAACTGCTGCCTACGTGGCACATTCTTGTGGTGACAATTCATGGACTCTAACGAAGTGGAAGGTGGAAGCAAAGCTAGAGCCATGTCTTCAGGGTATGGTAATAGATAGTTGCATATGCATAGGATGACCATCCTAAGTTATTAATTTTATATCGTTTCTTTTCTTTTTTCTTTTTTTGAGAACACCTTTAGGAAATTTGAAATTATTTTCTTAAAATTTGAATATTTTTTTCAAAATTGAACTTAGAACTTAATTTAAATAATAAAATAATTCAACTCCTAGTCCTACTTCCGACGTATTTCCTCTCTAGATTTAGGCCTTTATTTTAAATGCAACACTATTTTTCAAGACGGTAATAGTTTCTTCCTTTCTTCTGAGGGTTGCTTCACAACGATTAAAGAAGGAAAAGTATAGAAAAACCATCCATCTAATGGCTGGAAGACTAGATCCTCAGCTCTCCAAGCAACAGTAGCATGTGCTTAAGTATTCCATTGTTGAACTTGAACCCACCATAAAGGGCAAAGTTTCTGCTACCGCTCCTCCCTCGCTTTCTCTCTCTCTCTCTCTCTCTCTCTCTCTCTCTCTCTCTCGCTATCATCTCAAATCAGCTGGAAATAAGAATGGAGTTGCAGGAAGACGATGCACAAAAGAGAGTGTCTGCAATTCAAGGTGAAGGGTTCTACTTCGACAGGCTTCTTCTGAGAGAATCCTCGTTCGGCAACTCGTCCCGTAAATATTACCGGAGCCCAGAGGGGGTGCCCTTCCAGTGGGAGATGACGCCGGGGACGCCCCTCCACCCACCGGAAAATGACGCCATCCCACCCCTCCACCCGCCACCAGCGGTGCAGAGCATGGCGCTGCCAAGGCCGCCGGAAAAACTCTCTGTTGGCGGATCCGAGCGCGGCGGTTCATGGAGGCGTGCTTGGTTCTGGACGGAGGCTAGAAGGTTCAGTTCATGGAGAAGGATCAAGCACGTGAGAAAGGGCATATCCAGGATACTGACTGTGACTAATTTAAAGCTTAAGATGAACTAATTTGATAATGGCTGGAGCTAAAAGAATTTTAAATTTTAACTGCTAGGATGTGAATCATGTGATTGAGGGAGGGCATTGATGTAATTTGCACTTGACTTTTACCTGGCCACTGTGGTTTGAATAGTGCGTACAGATAGATAAATTTAATAAGGAAAAATATATTTACAGATACATATTATATATGTAGAGTTTTAAACTTCTAGGGCTGTCAGTGCAATAAAAGAAGTATTGTCGATAGCAATTTCTAGACCTGTCAGATGCATTTTTTCTTTTCGGGATAATTAGTGGGTTAAGTGTGCACCCGCCCAACCCAACTCCACTCAACTCAACCTGCCCGCATGCACCCGCAATTTGTTAATTTATATAAATATTTACGTGATAATAGTTTAAAATTATATAATATGCTCGTATTTAGTCAAGTGATAAGTTACAGTATTAAAAATTTGATATCACTTAAATTGCCTATCATATATATATATATATATACTAATATTTTTATATAATTACATTTCAGTAAATGGATGTTCCCTTAATAAATAAATAAATTATTTTATTTTATTGGCAACAGTTTTATATAGAGTTTTAATTTAATTAGAGATGTATTTGATTTTTTTTCCCTCCTTTTTGATTGGTAGCTTCTTCCTAGCTAGGTATTAAATTTTTTTGTTATTTAATATTCTACTAACCAATTAATAGTTCATTTGTGTTAAATTTAATAGTCTCTTTTTTTCTTTATTTTAATTTATGGCTATCTCAGTAATTTTTGTTATTTGATTTAGGGTGTACTATGAGTTTTTAGTTTATTAAATAGGTGCTAGCAAGTATGTGTGTGTGTGTATATATATATATATTGCATAAATATAGAAATATTTTGTGTTAGATTCTTAAATCATATAAAAAAAGTTGATAATATGTTGAATTTAATATATTAATTTTTATTAAATTATATTTTCATTGAGTTTCATTTTTAATTAACCAATCTGCCAACCCGTCCACCAATCCGCCTACGTGTGATTAAATCAAATCGCTCAATTTAAAAGGATAAAATAGCAAGTGCGAATTTAATATTTTTACCACCTATTCATATCAGGTTGAATGGATTTCTTAATATAAATCTATTCAAACCTGCTCGTACTCACTTCTGTTGATAATGCCCAATGCTTGTTTGGATGATGAGAAATTTTCGAAATTGTTGGATTCGAACGGTCTTCACCTAGTAATTATCTAGCTCAAAGGCTCATTAAACTTTCATGCAGTTTTTCTTTACATGGAAGCTGATTTTCAAAATTTATGACAATGTTATAAATCATAACATGTTAAAATGATATTAAAAAATATTAATATGACATAATATAATATAATGAGAATTTATTTAATACAAATTTGATAGGATTAATTTTATCTTTATCATAAAAAAGTTTTTAATATTCTTTGTAAAATTTTAAAAATTTTAATATTACTACAAATTTAGTACAAATAAGGTACATGAAAATAAATTAGGCAAAATTATCAAGCTAGACA